AAAAAAATTCAGCAACCGGCTCCTTATCACTCTAATTAATGAAATTAGCATATAAATAGATGCATGACCTTTACGTTTACTGTCTCGTAGAAAATTATTCATCACAACAACCGAGATTGTGTCGGCTTTATATAAACAACAAGGGAAAAAAAAAAAAAAAACGCAACACTCGGGAAGCCTGCACGCCTTCTCCATGTAATCCTTTCTTTCTGTGTTGCCTTTTTCCCCTGATAATAGAGTTGCTGTGAAAGACTTCCATAAACACTCCACTGCTTGGTAATGAAGATGTCATGAAATTGCTTTTGATATTGCTGGCGACCTTCTGTTTATCATTTCAACGCACGGAGGAAGAATGGACGTCCATTTATTCTTTCATCTGCCATGTTAACTGACCCAGCTGGCCGACGGGCATACCCGTATCCACTCTGCCTCCCACACACATGCACACACACACAGAACGCGGCATTATTTTCTATATCAGGAGAGAAACAGCATCCATTAGACTGAACAAAGCTAATACATTCTCATTAGATCCAGTTGTCCCAGAGGAGCCCGTATCTTGGATGTTTGGCTGTCGGTATATTCTGGGCCAGAAGTCATGCTATGCACAAACATCGCCGACTCCCAGTGACACGGCCAAGTAAAAAACTGTTTTGGCTTTGGTCTGCACCGCTGCACGAAACGCGAAGCATCGACGCCCTTTATTTGTACTGAGAAAAGCATCATAGTGAAGTATTCAAGTAGGAGTGGAGATGAATTTTCTGAGAGAGGTAAATTTTGGTGTCAGGTGGATTTTACTTGCTCTTTTTTTTTTTTTTTTTTGTATAAAAATCTAGAAATAGTTTTAAAAAAAATTAAATAATAAGGTTAAAGTACCGGGGGCTTACCAAAAGTAAGTTTGAGATGTCAAGTATGGAGTATTTTCATGTTTGTTTGTTTGTTTTTTCAGGATTATATTTTGTGGTCTTTCCCCCACCGATTCATTCATTTTCTGTGTTTGGAGAAGGGGGACATCTATTTCTTTGTTCATCTGCCAGCTGCAGATGAATGCTGGAGTTTTGGTGGATTCGATGAAATAATGTTTCCATTAAAGTCCAGAGACAACTTGCAGAAACGGGATGAACATACAAGTGGACGCAGGGCAAAAAGCGGAGATGTAATGGTGGGAGCCAAGCAAGGATTGAGTGTTTAAGTAGAGCGAGAAGCGTTGGAACTGCTTACCTAACAGGCTGCAGGTGGAGGAGGCAGAGGGTCTGACCTCAAACTGGAAATATTTACACGGATTTCACCTACAGAGTCCTCCGTTTCTGGACTCGTTAGTTCAAGTCTGAATTATGGAAATGCGTGGATAAAATCCTTCGTAAGCTACAGAATGACGTGTGTTTGGTGATGGACTTGCAACAACTCATAATGCAAGATGCAAACATGAGTTGTTTCAGGCTCACTGTTCAAGCCCTATGAAGATCAGCTGTATGTACATCAGGTTACAAACGTTAAAGGGGCAGCATTACACGGGCACTAGTGCAATTTTGTTATCACAATCGACTAACTGTTCACTTAAGTTACAAAAAAACGCTGTTTATAAAACAAACTTTGTATTTTAGTGCCTTGAAATTGGGCCTCTGTCTCTTTAAAAACTCCCGCTCTTTCTGAAACTCCGCCTTCAGGAAGTCATCACAACATGGCTCCTCTACTAAACCCTTAACATTTTTACTAGTGTTGCACGGAAAAGTAGCTCGTATAATGAGCTCAGCAGATGTGCAGCTCCACCAGGTGTTTGCTAATTGCTGCTAGCTAGTCTGAAGGAGCTGAGCGTGGGAGGCACAGGAGGAGCTCGGTCCATCCGAGCATTTTGCACAGCTGAATGGTTGCCACGGGAGATTAAAGGATTTCTCAAACATGGATGTTGTGAAGGCAACACTCCAGGTATAATGTTATAACATGATGTAAAGCTCAAAAAAAGTAAATTTTACAAAACACTGCCTCTTTAAATATTTTTGATCTGAACTACTTCCAGTGTTCAGAAACTGTACAGAGTTATCGAAAATAGGATTTATAGGCTTAGATGATTTTTAAAAGCCTTGCTCTGTCCACCAGTAGCATTTCTAGAGTCCAAATATTATGCTCAGGTTTTTTATTTTCTTTCCCCCCAGTCTTCTCTGGTTTTAAATCAGCAGGACTCAACTGCTCTGCCCCTCTGTCTTCCAGCCCTCATTAAATTTCTCCAATCCAGGTCGGGCTGCCTCCTCCTGTAGCCCTGATATGGAGATAAATAATGCCTAGAAGTAAATGTGAGCGAACTTGCACATGCACAGGTTTTTCTCTTTTGTTTTTTGTTTGTTTGCTCTTTGATCCATGCCCTGTACATTACACATAAAATGAAAAGATAGCAGAGAGGAGAGGTGGAGAGACGGTATTTTTATATATATTTTTTAGAGGCCCACTAATGCCCAAGGTTATGGAGGCCATTATTATTTTCTCTTTTTTTTTTTCTTTTTTTTTTTTTGCCTGATCTACAAGATGCAGCATTGAGCCAGAGCTGGAGGATGGATAATAAATAGGCCAGATGATTCAATGGGCCCTGCTACCCACTCCAGCCCAGCCTGGCGCCACCACTTCTCTCCAAATAATCAGTCCTACCCTCCCGACTCGGCCGTAGATCTCCACGGACTCGCCCGCTATCTGGCCCCCGCCAAAAAAGGAATGGATGTTATGAGCTGTGTATAAATTGCCGCTCTCATGTTTTCAGGGGGGACATTTAATGATATTACATTAATAAGAGCGTAATAAGGCGGAGGCACACCGGGAGCGCGGGGCAGAGCAGGAACAGCTGCCAGGCCAAAAATCCAAAATGTGAAGTTCGTGCGTCGACTCGGGAGACGCACCTGAGGAGATGTGCGGCGGGCGCAGAGGGGCTTTCAATCAGCCCAGCTGCAGGAGAGTCGAGCTTCTCCCCTTCGACTCAGGCAGAGGAACACTTAAGGCGGTACATTTGGAAATGAAGTAGCAGGATATCGACTGCAGTTACTTTTCTTTTTTTCTCTATCTCTCTCTCTCTCTTTAAGCGAAAATCTAATCTATTTTGCAGGATTGACTAAACAGTCATGTTCAGGGCAGCTTGAACTTAGATGCTGAAACAGGAAAGAACATTTGTTTCCCCTCTATTGTCTCTGTGCTCACACACAGTGCTTTTTTTTTGTTTTGTTTTTTTTTAACCAAAGCTAAACTATCAATGAAGCTGCTGCCATTTACTACTTTTTTTTTTGTTTGTTTCTATTTTGAGGCAAAGGGGAAAACTCTCAGGGCTTTAGTAAAAATCACAAAGGTTGCTTTTCTGAACACCCTAAACGTCCAAAGTAACAGAAGGTTACATCCGTTACCACCGTGCGCTAAAAGGCTTCCATCGGCAGCTCTCTTCTCTCAATCGATGGCGCATATCTGCAAAACACATCAATGGAAGATTAATGCAAGAGCGGGGCTGAAACGTAAAACCCAGATTCAGCTGACACGACACAAGACTTCAGAGATGCTTAAATGCCTCAGACCGTTACAACAAATGTATTTTGCCTTTTTTTTTTTTTATGAGTTCTCCTCCTTTGGAGATGAAAACTCTGATAAGATCCATCTGGATTTGGTTTGAGGAGTTTGCCCAACATTGCAGAGCTCTTGCGACACTTTCAACTGTTTAATTCACAAAGCAGTTCAACTTTTGCTTCCTGTGTGGCCTGACGGTAACGATAAAGATTAGTGTGCTGACTCAACCGCAGCGTAGCATCGTGAGATGAAGGCTAAACAGCTGAACATTTCTCCATTCTAGTGTAGCATCGTCCGCCAGCAGAAATTTAAGGGCGGAAATTGGAAATAAAAATATACATTTCAGTCTACCACAGTCGTCTGACTAGATTCAACATGCAACACTGATGTTGACGTTATAATTGCTTTTACCTGTCTACACAGTGTTTGTATACATTCTACAAGTATACCATTGAATTAATTCATTTCACTCGTTCAAATTACTTCCACGCAGCTCTTTCGGGGAAAAAAAAAAGTTATAAAAGCGACGCTTTCAGACCATTCAGAATTCGTCTCGCTGTGTGTGTGGACGAGCCGCGCAGTGTAATTAAAATCCAATCAATCGCATCTTTGAGGATCTCCGAACCAGAGAAGGCCGCGTGAGCCACGGCAAACGCGCGCCGGCGTCATCAATGATTCTAATTAATTTTGGGGCATTAGCTGCATGTTAGAAGCTGTTGTCCTTTAAGGCATCATGTCCTCTCTTTATGTTCCTAATGACACAGAATGCAGCGCTACAGAGGCATCACACGTTGCAATTAGTTTGTACCATGAAGGCAGATGATGAATCATCTTCATTACAGTGGTAGATGTGTTGCAGCTGAATGTCATGCCGTGAAAAAGATTTTAAGAAAAGTGGGATTCAGTTTAGGATTACAATCAGTCTGGTCCTCATGCTTGAATTTCTCTAAGGCCAACATGAAATTATTCAACAGAACAGCAGAGAAAGTGGATCAAGCTTTCAATGGCCATTTTTCAAAGACCTCACAGCTTCAGGCTCTTTTTTTATTTATTATTTGCCTCAAAAAGAAGAGGGATGGCGAGGTTCTGTTTCTCTGTTGCAACCTTTTGGGTGGCGTTAGTTCATGTGTTGTTCATTCTGGTAGGTGCATTCTGTGTTTTTCTGTGTCCTTGGGCATTCTCTCTGTTCATCATTCCCTTTGCCGAAGCCGTGCCCACCTGCTCCCCTCCCAGCTGACATCCACTTAGCTGCTTAATTCACCTGTAAAGCATTTTATTAATCTCTTCTTAACACCAATATTTAAGGACTTTACTTTCTGTCACTTCTTTTTCTTTACTCCCATTGTTCCTGGTTCTCCAGTGTATTTTTTCTCTCTGTGTTTCTGTACGTTTTTTTGTTGTTGTTGTTGCCTTTTTGTTGTTTTTGTTCCATTTGTTCTGCCTGATGGCCGCATCTGGGTTACTATTCCTTTTATGCAACTCACTGAGCTCCTTTCATGTGTTTTCATTTAGCTACCCCTTTTTTTTTTAGTCATTTTTATTTAATTTACAAAACAAGCCTGTCCTCCCGTAACATTTGTGTGTGTTGTGTAACAGTCTGGTCCTGGTCTCCGTAGTTGGACGTTACAGTTTTTAAATGTCTCTAGTAACACTTACTTTACCTCTTGCTGGCCCTTTTCACCACCTGCTCCCTCTTTTTAATTACTTGGTTTCCTTATTCCAGAGCCAGACTCATCCTCCTCGCTTCCTCCAAGTCAGAGCTTGGCTTTCCGTCTTGGACCCCGTCGCGAACATATTTCTGGACGTCCCGCCTGGCAACGCCTCCGAGACCCAGGAAAAAAAAATAAAATAAAAAATTCTCCTTTACTACCGCGTGCCCTGACGACGTCCCAGTAAAAACCCATATACGTCTGGTTTCACGCACAGGTGAAACCAGACGTATATGTTTCAGTGGAAACTGACTCGCGGCCACAGTAACGGGGCCTAATTTGTTAAGCACAAATTAACAACGCGTTGACGCTTTGACCTCGACGCTTTGTGACGGGTTCTGGAGCTAAAACGGCGTCGCTGAGCACGCTCCGGTAACCGCGGCGAGTCCTTTTTTTTCCCCCCCTCTGCCTTTTTCACACACATCCCGACGAAGAGATAAAAGCCTCCTGAAAGCAGCCAATAATACAACTGCGAGCCATAAATCTCCGGCAATCTGTGCGGCTGCTTTAACAGCTCAGCGAGTGTCGCCGGCCCCGCGAGCCACCAAAGGTACAAGGGCTTCTGAGGGCCAGTGAAACATGAAGGACTGATGGCTGCATCATGACCCTGCTGCTTGCTTTAACTTGGGTTTTATTGGCCAACAGATGGGCTGCCCTCTCTCCGCCGTTTTCACCAGCGTGACCCTCAGACACGCAGAAAACGTTCGCTCTTCTGTGTGCTGTTCAACCTCTGCCGAACAGCAGGACGGTAAAGAGCGACCAGGTTTCCGTCTGTCACAGAGGAGTCTTTGGACGCCTGAATGTCTGCTTTGGTTTCTTGAAATGTAGTCATCTCAGCGATTCTTAAATTAAGGTAAGGTAAGGTAATTCTATTTATACAGCATTTTCAGCAACAAGGCAATTCAATGTGCTTTACATCAATTAAAAGGAAATAG